CCATAGATACAAATCAGTCTCCGAAAGCATCAGAATAGCTTTTAAGAATCAGGAAACGTGGAGAAATCATGGAATTTCTATATTTTATTTTCGGGTCCAGTAAAATAACTTGCTCCCTTCGGAAGGAAAAGTTGATACATTAATCAATCATTTTTCCCAAACTTTCACTCCGACCAAAATATTAGGTTGAGCACTAGGAAAAACAAGTCATTTATCATAAACTTGCGACTTAACCAGTAACTCGGTGTTTCTTGCTTGCAGCACCAGAGCGCTGCCCAGGCATTGGTGAGTCGCATGTGTATCTTCCATTTTTCTCTTCTTATCACTATTATACATTTAATTTTTGATAGTCTCTTTTTTTATCATCTTATAAAGTACTACTTATCTGATTACGTTATCAAGTATTCTAGATAAATTAATAATTTATAACTAACGTTAATATCATTCACACCACCTGGTAGATGCAGATAAAGTGTTCTGGATTTTTTATACTTAAATTTTTATCTATTCACTTGGTTTTTCCATTCGAGGGCTCTCATCAGGGATTAACCACTCTCAACGAGTGAACTTCATTGAATATTCTCATGTATTTAAATGAGATTTTCCAATCTGCACTACACGTTCTTGTTTTAATACAACGCAGCGGGCATTTTATGAGCTTATTCTGGCTACTAATTTTAAACTGTTGAGGGAGTAAGGTAATTGAACGAGTAGATAACTGATTGCTGGAACAATGGAGGGCTGGGGGTAGCTAGTGAAAATTGTCAGCCTGACCAGTGTTGTACGTATATCACTCGCCGAGTAGAATAGGAAGCTTTATAGTCAACCAAGAGTATGACTTTATCTTACATTTAGATCGTCTTCTGCGGCATTGAGTATCTTTCATTGAATTCATTGTGGTAGAAATGTCATTAGCATTATTCAGACATCTTTGAAGTGGAGAATAATAGCCTTCGGGTCTCTGAAAAAATACATCTGGTGATTATTCAGGGAGAGGATGCTAAAACAGTAGAGTAGTAGAAGGAGATGAGTCCCATAATCTCGGTGAGATTATTTTGCAAATCAGGGGCGGGTTCATTTTACAAATATCTTTTGAACTACGGTAAGTAAGGGAATTTTTGTAGAGCAAACCCTTTTGCGTTGAGCGAAATGTAAACTGCAAGAATGATTCTCATGAAGATTTCTTGAGCTAAAAAAAAACTGTTTTTGAATTGGACACTAATTATTTGGCTTCATTCTCAAATACTGAGATATTTCTGAATCTAGTAGATTTTAGAAAAAATGTCATATTATTTTCAGCTATAATACCCCAAGACCTTCAAAATTATCGGATATTTTCCGAATGTTTTGTTGCATAGCAACGAGAGCCCCTTGCGCTGCGCGCTCGGGATTTTAATCTGCAAAACTGATCCCTCTCGTTGATATGCAGGAAAACTTGAGGGAAATATCCGATGAATTTTGAAGGTCGAGGGGTATTCGGAGGACAATTCCTTCCATTCTGATTTTGGCCGATCAGGGTGCAGTGTTCGCGGTTACGGGACCCATTTCACCAAAATGTGAGGAATATCTGTCAAATTCGTAAAAGACAATCGACAGGTTGCAGGGAAATTATCAGCGTGAAATGCGTCACGTGACCCCGAATACTACACTCTGATTGGTCAAAATCAGAATTGAGGAAATTGTCTTCGTAATCCATTTGATTATCTACGAGAGTTTAATGATTTCCTGGGAACAATTTCTTTCCTCATAAAATATTCACAACGTGATTGATAAAACAGTTTTGGACTCATCTATCGTCAACGTTTGACTATTGATTAATTTTGAATATTTAATAGTTTCTCAGGGAATTTTACATGAACCGGAAATTCACTTTTTTCATGTTTTCAAATATGAAGTATGGATTTATTACATTGAATTCAATCCTTCAATTACTATAGAACTAATCAATTAATTGATTAATTCTTCAAGAATTATTCAGTCATTCTGCAGAAATAGTTAGTAGAAAGTTATAATCATCCGACCAACGTATTCTGCCTATTCAAGCCCCAAAGTATCGTCGAAAATCCTTGGGAATAGGGGAGGTTGGGGTAAAATGGACACTTTTGACATTTTTTAAAATGTTAATGAGGGGTTGAAATGGTGATAAAAGTTAATAATGTTGTTTTCAATACAAAGAACAATTCTTTCCCTTTGTGACGAGCCTAAACTGAGCTCCATTGATCAATTTGTTTCTGAGTTATGAATCATTAAAAAAATCTCCAGTGTCCGTTTTACCCCACCCTCCCATATTTATAAAATTAGTTCATGCAGGAGAAAAGGTCAGGGATTTTTTTTAGTCCATAGTATTCACTGCAAAAAAGGTTTTCTAGTGTTTTTTCTTCTCTAAAAGTATTTGCGAAGTAATTTACCAATTTATTTTCGATTTATTCCCTCATACCATTTGACTATTGAGTCACCTTTTTTATGTAACCGGTTGCTACCAAAAGTTAAATATAACTACATAAGTAAATAAACATGAAAAATAAATTGTACAGGTAACACAGCACTGATTATGCTTCAAAAATCGTTGAATTATCGAATAAAAATGCTTTTAACTAGTTTCAAGAAAGTTACAAGCTGATAATTATGTGACTGACGTAGTTCCCTTATTGACCGAGAGGCTATTCACAGTCGAAATGGGTAACACCATGATTACAGAATGTAATCGATTACCCATGATTACAAAGTTGATTACATGGAGAGAATTATTTGGTGAATTTCACCAAGTCGTTGTTGAAAAAATAAATTACCAACTAATCTTAGTTTTGAGGCTTTCGCGGCCATTATTAATGACATTACTGGCTTCCGGATGGATGCCGCACGGAGATAAATGTTCAGTAAAAAGTGCGGAACTCACAATTCATTCACCGATTACGAAATCGACTCAGAAAATTTAAGGATAATCGGGCGAGCCCGGAGGGTTAGAAAAAAAGCAGCCATTTTTCTCTTTTATTTTTTACGTATTCTTTAAATGATGGAAAAGGCATGTGCAAAGTTTCAGACTGCTGGGGAACATGGTTAATCTATTATGAATTTTCGAAAAAGTGGTCATTTAACCCGTGATCTTATGGAAATTACAAAAACAAGCAGGCGACCGACCCTATTCGACAGAAGACTTGTGACACCACACTGTTATGTCAAAAGTCTTCATTTTTCTGCTACCAATTACATTGGTTATAAGCTTCCGAAGGGAAGAAGTGCATCGTCTATTTTTTATTTTTATTATTTCAACCGTAGTATATAAAATCATTTCGTCCTCTTAAAAATTTCATATGTAAAATTATGTGGTTTTACTCCGATTCAATTATTTCTCTCGATTTCATTCGTATTTTCCAAAACAGACTGATCTGTGCTGATGAATACACGTCCCATTCGAATTCAAAAAAATCATTCTCATTCCAGATGGTATTCCATAGTGCAACTTTTCTTCTTTCATATGGAATAGGAGGTCATCGAGACAAGTATTTAAAAAAAAAAAAAATTTAATCCCTCGAGAAGTAAAGGAGTTATTGGCCAAAATGGGTTTCCACAAAAAATTGAATATCTCGCGAACCGCTCGGTCGATTTTGCCCATTCAAAATACCATTCGTCTATGTCATGAAAGCTACGAACATACCAAATTTCAAGTCAACAACAACCTTTTTTATCGAGTTATCGCGCGCACAACGTTTTTCGCAAAAAAACAGATTAACGGCAATATCTCTAGACTCAACAGCGATTGTTCGATATATTATGGGTGCTTCAGATGGAGGTCATTGGGACGAGTATTTTAAAAAAAAAAAAAATTTAATCCCTCGAATAGTTAAGGAGATATTTGCCAAAATGGATTTCTACAAAAAATTGAATATCTCGCGAACCGCTCGGTCGATTTTGCCCATTCAAAATACCATCCATCTATGTCATAAAAGCTACAAGCATACCAAATTTCAAATCGATATTAACATTTTTTATCGAGTTATCGCGCGCACAACGTTTTTCACAAAAAAACCGATTAACGGCAATATTCCTAGACTCAGCAGTGATTGGTCTATGTATTATGAATGATTCAGGTAGAGATCATCGAGACGAATATTTTGAAAAAAAAAAGTTGAAATCGGTGCATTTATTGAGGAGATATAGCTGAAAAACGAAATTTAAACAATTGGCAATATCTCAGGAACTACTGGACCGATTGAGCCCAAATGGAGCCACAAAGTGGGGCTTATTCATAGCTATCATCAGTAAAAATTTCAAGTTTTTATCTGCGAATTTCACCGTATTTATGTTAAAATTTCTAAAAATAAACCCCCAAAACAGCCATTCTGCACATACATACGTACAGACGCAACCTCAAAAACATCATTTTTTCACGTTTCATGACATTCTAGATCATTTGCAATGAAAATTAGAAAATCGAAAAATCGACCAAAAATAATGCTTCCCTTCGGAAGCAAAAACTGCAAAACCCAAGGAAAAAAAGCAGCCAAAGTCATGAAACTTTAGACACATTTAGAACATGTGATCAATGATTTTTTGAGTGAAAAAGATTGTCGCCTAGGAGCATTGTTTATTAATAACAGCGAAAAAAGTACTGAAAAATGACATTTCTGCCCACGCAGCCCAAATGAGCAGCAACGTCTTAAGTACTGATCGGGTGGGAGTAGCGCGGTTAATTTAAACGCCTCTTGAGCGAGAGCGATGAAGCCTTGTGATTGGAGCTCCCTTGAGCCAGCGGTACCAGCTCCTGGTGAAAAAAAAACACTACCGACGATGTTGCCACTTTTTCGCATGGATTAATATTTTTTCATTTATAAAAAAAAAATCTGAAAACCATTCAATGCGTGGAACAGATACAAATAAATTTGATTAGCTTCAGAAATAATTTTTAACTGGAGATACTCCCTAATATTGCCTGAATTTTGAATCCGAATGAGAAAAATTTTTTTGTTCAGCGATTAGTTTTCTGCAGGAAAACAATAGAAACCCCTCCGTCTCACCTCCTACATTTCCTCCTCGCCCGGTTATCCTTAAGTGATGGTACCTATCGTAAATTTTCACAGGAGATTCAGATAAAAATTACGGAACACTCCGGAAAAATTCCGTGACCGTTCCGTAAAATTTCCCACAAACACATTTCGCTCCGGAATTACGGAAAAGATACGTGATTTTTATTGAATATTTTTCTCCGCGCGCGTTTGGTTTCAGCATTGCGCCGACGTTTCGCAAATATTGCAGTCTGCATCTTCAGGGCTATGAGCTCCGATTCTGAGCTCCGATGTCTGGGGGTTGTCCTTATGTCTTCCCCTGTGATGGTGGGGGTTGGAGAGGGGGAAGGGGAAAGGGGGGGGGTCAGCCAATCGTATGTTTTTAATTGACCAGCTGATTTTTCAATTTCATTCAATCAATTTTTACTACCAAAGTAAATGGTGAGGGCATATATACATTTGGAAAGAATCCCACAATCATTTCTATCTTGACAATCGATCAATGTCTCCCCTAGGAGATATTTTCGCAATAATCTACAATTCCTTGTTAAATTTGATCCATCAAATAAATCGACGAACGTTTATTAAAAATTTAACAGATGGTTGTCGAATGAAGTTGAAAAATATTTTTCTGAATTTTGATTGAATAGTTGTTAAATTTCAACAACTGGTTGATAATTCATTTTTTCAACAACTAGTTAGTGAAATTTACCAAATAATTTTCTCCGTGATACACTGATTATCATTTCCGAAGCAATTGCTCTGATTATCTAGGGCGCAAAATATGATTACATGATTACAAATGATTCCATCGATTACAATCAGTGATTACCAAACATGTGGATTCATTGATATGACAAAATTAATCAATAGAATACTTCATTAACCAAATGATTAATTAGAAAAACCTGTGGGAAAAATTGATCCAAGGAATTTTCATTTACCGTTCGTAGGAGTTACGCCCTCGAATACTGAATAAAAATTCATAGGCTCGCTAGGAGCGACTTCAAAAGATTACAATGATGACAAATGATTACTACTTGATTACCACAACTTGATTGTAAGTATGGTAATCATGTGGTTACAGTGATTTAATCGATTTCATTGGGAATACAAGCGATTACACCGGCGAGTGACACCACGATTACGTCTGTGAATAGCCCCTCGTTATTGACACTCAAAAAAAAATTATCCTTAAAAATCCTGTAAAATATTACTGAAATTGGTACATTTTGGGAAACATCTCAAAAGATCTTTTTTAGCCACTTCAAACCTTCCTTAGAGCAAAGGTCTTCCAATTTTTTATAAACTAATTCCTTCAGAAAATATTCACGATACAATTTACAAAGCCGTTTCGTTCATTTTTGCTTCGATTGATTTTGGAAATTGAACGAGCCGTCAATGATGATATTAGATAATGCGAAATTGGAAAAAATCAGTACATCATACTAATACATAGTCAATGAGCAGTGTTTCGCTTAATGTTTAAGCTTCCCAGAGTCTGGAAACCAAGCAAATAAAAAAGTTATTACAAAAACTATCATTGCATTTGAGATGTAAAATTCATAACAGATTAATCATTGACAATTATTGAATTATTCAGGGGAAATACTTCGGAATAGGCTGAACAGTTAAATTATGGAACACTCAAGGCTCTTCGGAGTTTCAGACAATGGTTTAAAAATGAACTATTGTTTGGAAAAATATAAAAAAATACTGGTGGATTCCAAATTCGATAGGTTTCAGGGAAAAAAACAAAAAATACATTATGTAATGAGAAATAATCGGGAACAATGGAAAAATATGGTCAAGTCCAAAAGACCTGTTACGGAACACTTGCCAAATATGAAACATCGTGCATCCAATTACGGAATATTAGGACTTTGTGAGAAGGTGAAAGGTTAGGAATCTGAAGTAATAATGAAAATTTTTGCAAAAAAATGTCAACAAGTTCAGATTATAATTGAAAATTGGAATTGCGATGCAAATTTTATTATGCACTGTTAGGAAATTTTTGAAATTTCATGGAAGATTTTATAGTAAATCTCACGAGAGTGACATTGAATCGGATTTAGCGAAGAAATGGTTATGAAATTTCAAGTTTTAAGTGGAATTCACTGAAATTGATGAGTTTTCAATGGGAGTGAGATGGAAATTTCACAAATTGATTGAATTTTTAGTGGAACATGAATATTCAGAAATAAAATTACATGAATTTTCAATTTTTTCCTGAATTTTCCTGACTTCACAGGAAGTTTTCACAGAATAATTAAACTGAAAAATCAAGTATTTTATTGATTTCCAGATTATTTGAACAGAAAATCAATGGAATATTTGATTTTTCAATGACAAGATTTCCTGAAATATCAGTGGAACTAGTGAGCTAGTGAATAATCGTTAAAATGACTAATGTCGATTACATTAACACATAACTTGACTTTCTTCGGATGTGAATTTGTCAAAACAAAACAATTTAACAAGGAATAGAAACATAAAGGTCATTATATTTTCAATTTATCAATTATTTATATACTTTTAACTGAACCACTCCGGCACGTGGCAAACAAAAACATCAGTGTTCCGTCGATTGGAAATGTCACGAAAACCCTGCTCAAATGGCAGAACACCCATATATATTTGTAGAAATAAGAACTTTCGGATAAAATTAATGCAAAAATATGAAAAAATGAAGCTTTTAGGATCAACATCAGTCTAGACTTCTAAGTCATTTGATGATTATTAACCCAAGTAACTTCGTTCGATACATTAACGGTCACACGGTCACATCTGACTACTCACCTGTCGCAAAATGGCTGAAAATGACAGCTGGCAGGGTTTATTTCCATTATTAAGCTGGAAACAGCAGATAGACAACCAAATATACTTTCATATCATGAATGGAAATATCGATTTGATTTTTTTTAAAATCGATTTGGTAAATAAATGAATATTCTTGAAATCCGACAAAATATTCAAATGTTCCGGTAATTGAGAGGGATTCCGCAATTGGACTGTTCGCCCTAATTCCTTCAGAAAATATTCACGATCAAATTTACAGGACCATTTCGTTCGCACTTGCTTCGATTTATTTTAGAAATTAAAACGACTGTTACTATATTTAATATGTATTAAAAATACTGTTTCCTTAGACTGTGAAAAATCCATTACAGATCAATCATTGAAAGTTATTGAATTATTGAATGAAAATACTTCTAAATAGTTGAAAAGTATTCGAAGATAGAAATCACTCGACTTCCAAAAAAATGTTAAGAAATTATATTTTAAATAAGATATTTGCGAGATCATTTACAAACCCATTTTGGATTCGTTCCCGTCTATTGATACATTAAAAAAATCAAACGAATTCTCATCAAATTTTACATGAATCAACAAAGTCAATTAACTAATCCTTCAAAAGTATTCAATTCTTCCATAGAATGAGGACATCTGGTTCAGAAAGTATTTGGAGATTGAAAATTGTATGATCAAACTATGTTCTCTATTAAAATCCTGAACTACTATTAAAATCCTCTAAGAGATTTCTAGGCCCCGTAGATTCAGAGAAGAAAATTTTTTAGATTTTTTTTTGCAATCCATTGAATTAAAAAAAATCTTCTGATGATGTTTTTCTTGTTTTTTAAGAGGTATTTGCGAGATAGTTCATAAAACCATTCTAGACTCATTTCCTTCTACAATATGTCTGTTGATTCATGTTACAAACTGGAAACCTTGCTATCGAATTTAATATATATTGCCGAAACTGCTTTTTGAAATTATTAATTGATCAACCCTTAAAAAATCATTGAATTATTACACAGGAAAAGTGGGTAGTTCAAAAAGGATTCAATGAGTAATAATTGTATGAACGAAGTAATGCGCTGAAACCATGAATCACATAGTTAATAAACCTAAACATATTTCCATAATCCTAGATTTATTTCCTTCCAACATATGCCTATTGGTCACTTCAGAAAGCCTGTTATTAAATTCCATAATATAAAAAAAAAAATTATTCGGATGTACATTGATTAATCATGGAAAAATCATTTAATTATTACATAAAATTCGTTGTAGCTACTTCAAAAAATATCTAAAGGATAGTAATCGCTCGACTAAAGTGTTCTCGTTGTTAAACCCCTGAGTTACCATTAAAAATTCTCACCATCTGTCCCCAAACTTTTGACAGTACCCCACCAACAATCTACTGGAGTATCTCCAAACTGAATAAGGTTCTCCAGTACAGCGTTGATCACGTCTCCAACCTGGTTCGGCACCCACTCGACCTACTCCCCAATCATCCAAACTTTCCCATTCCCCTGACGCCATAAAATCCTTGAAATACCCCGTGTTGAAAATTAAAAAAAAACATAAGACCCTAAGGAAGTTATAAAGTGTCAAGTGAACTTCATGCTCCAGTCGCCGTCGATAATGATTTCCACTCATTACTTAGTGTCAATTAATCTGACATTAAAGTGTGAATAAAATATTTGAAATGTAGGAGATAAAAAAAAATGTAGATCATATATTTTTATAAAGGTCAATTCTGTAATACAAAGCCTAGAGGGCTTTGTGAGGCCTTCTAGGATCGTTTTATGCTTTAAAACCGAGCTGAGTATAATCGATATTCAGGAGGGAGGAAAAAAAAAAGGGATGGGTTGTATATGCACGGGAGAGTCTTGCAAGGCAACTGACCGACTTCTCCGGCACTCACTGCAATTAACCCTCTCGCAAAAGCAACTAGCTCGAGAAGTTTTCATTGTGTGTGACCATACGTACCCTCCTGGCTTTTCATCACATCACCGCAGTATAATAATAACGACATGAACGACTATGTTTCCCCTCTTCATCCTATTCATTCATTAAGAGGAGAAAAGACAATCAGAGTGAAAGAGAAATAACCACAAGAGAAGATAAAACAGTGAAAATAGAAAAAATTTAGAAAAAAAAACTCTTGAATAGTTTTGTTTTTAGTTGTGAGTGAGAATAATCGCATGCTGTGTAGAGAAAATATTTTTAACTCATTCATGAGTAACATGGCATAAGTTTTTTCATAAAGACTCTCTCTGTTTTTCTTTCATGTCCAACAGCATCCCAATGCAACAAACAGCAGTGAGACAAGTGTGGGCGGTGCGTCAGGTGCGTGCGGTAACAGCGGCGTTGCGATAAACGCCGACGCCGGTTGCAGCAGTCGAGGTGGTAGTAGCAGTGGGCAAGGATGCGAACAAATGTCACACCCTGGCCAGCATCATTCATCGAGGGAGAGTCATGCTAAATTTAGGCACGGCCTATTACAACTGATGATCCACACGATTGATCCGCTCCACGACGGTCAGTCCCATGCCGGTATATCCTCCACACTCTATCACTCTCGCCTGTCTGCTCGCCAGCACGCTCAGTATTATTTCTTTTATTTCTCCTCTTGGCCATTATTTTGATGGGTTTCGATGTGTAACATCTTCACCGGCGGCTCCGTTATATTGCTGGGAGAGAATGGCACTGTCAATGGTTACGGATATTCGTAACAGAAGTTATACGCTAGCTGCCCACCGTCCACTGCGCCGCCCGTGGCCGACAATGACAAATTGTAGGTACAGAAAACAAACGATTCGAACTTTTTTTTTTCAATTTTGACCTGCCACTGAATGTCATAACCACACTTGCATTCCCACGTACGAAATGCCAGTGTTGGAGAAACGGGCCAAGCCTGGCACAAGCCTGGGCTTGCCAAGCCTGGGCGCCCAGGCTTGGACCGAGGTTCGGCCATCCCTGGGGACCAGGGCTTGAGTCTCGGGAGAAGCGCAGGTAACCGAGCCTTGGTTGACAGATCTGGCCCAGCCTTGACCGGACATTGGCATGCCGGAGCTCGATAACCAAGCCTCAGCCAGCGGTGGCCCGGAGCTTGGTCATTGGGCTCCAGCCGTTGGTGTAACTGTAAGGGTTAAGTCGTAAGGGTGAGATGATGAGAATGGAATCATAGGGGTGGAATCATAAGGGTAAAATCTGAAGAGTAAAATTGTAAGGGTCAAATCGCAATAATGGAAAGGGGCGAAAAAATCATAAGACTGACATTCTGAGGGTTGAATGGTAAGGGTGGAAACTTGAGGGTAAAATATTAAGGGTGTAATCGTAAAAAAATGGTGACATTGTAGGTGTTGAAGTCACATGTTACTCGCTAATTATTACGAAAAGAAGAAGAATCGTCATTCAACAGTAATCCTAATTGTTATAATTATTATTGTAATTAATAATAATAATTATTATTATTCATTATTGAATTAATTTACCGATTAAACTGTAGTTGAATCACTTAATATTTCTATCAACTGAATGATAAAACATTCAAGTCGAAAAAAACCGAGATGGAATTAATATGGAAGATTTGAAGTAGAGGTTTTACGAATTGCGCGGTAGACTAGTGGTTAGGGCGTCGGATTAGTAGTCGTGAGGTCGTGGGTTCGAGCCCACGTTAGGGGGTAATATTTTAAGTTAACAAAATCGGTTTTTCAGCGATGATTGCGTTAGGGTTTGGTAGGTAGGGCACAATCAATACTAAAAATCATCCTAAAAAATGTTAATTATTTTGTTTTTGTTATTATTGATAATTGCCATGAACAGTTTGGCAGCCAGTGCGGCACCAGTCGCATGCCGGTATTGATTTTTTTTCCTCGTTGAACCTATTACGAATGCTGAGGAGTAATATTAAATTACTTGTATTTCAATCACCCATATTATCATATTCATGTAATTAAGTAATGTTTAATTGAGCCTGGCCAACGACTGGCAATCAACGCTGGGCCGAGATGGGCGCCCAGACCTGGCCCGATGTTATCATTCCAGGTTTCAACCAAGTCCGGCGCGGTCCCGGTTGAGGAACGGGTCCCGAAGTTCGGCAGGCCGGCCACCGGGCTTGGGCCAAGCTCGGCCCATTCGTTTTTTCGTACGTGGGATGGCCCCTCGAATATGCATTTGGTAACTATTAAGGAATGAACTTTTGGTGAGACCGATTAGACCCTAGCGTCCAACCAAATCCATTTGTTAACAATAACTAATCCTTTCTAGCAGTGTACTGCGAAATCCATGGCTGTACACGCATTAACTGGAATTATAAACTTTTTGAATTATTTTCACTTTGGATGATGTTTGATTAGTTTGAATTCAAATTTCAAGAGACAGAGTTATGAAATTAATTGATTATCAATACCCGAAAGTTGCTTATAAAGGCGCAGGTGAGGCGGTATTACTATACTGATAGAAGAATGTTTCCATACTGCTTTTCACTTTTCCTCGTCCAGGAATTGGTATTCACCCTTCCACAAACTCGTAAAAATGAAAATCACTACGAAAAAATGTTGTCCGGGCTATCATTATGGGGTTTTTTTACTCGTGTGGTTGGTTCGCCTCGCCTTCGGCTCGGCTCACTCCACACGAGTAAAAAACCCCATGACGACAGGTCGGAAATATACTATAGTTATTGTTAACGAGGCTTCTTAATGATATCCAAATACTTCGTTCGAGTTAGCAACTGTTTTTTAACCCTCCTACACTGGCGCTCGAACGCCGGCCGAGCCAAGTGGCTCAGTTAGCACGGTGCCGCCCGTGCATTTTTATCGTTCATGAAAAAAAAGTTTGAAAAAAAATGACTGGTTTTGGGTTCAGAGGAAGATTTCAACCTTCAATGAACAGGAAATGACGATAGAACGAGGAAAAACAGTACCCATTTAATGCATAAAGTTGATTTGATTTTTAAATTTTTTTTTATTATTTTTAACGTAATTCGTCACAAGAAACTTGTGACTGGCCATCGCCCGAGGGCCTGCAGCCTGGTATTTACATATTATATACAAAGTGTTGATTTTAGAGTGCAGAAAAACAAAAGAAGGAGAAAATATAAATAAATACTCAGATAATTGATAGCATCATGAGATTGAATAAGAAAAGTAACAAGATGTTCTACAGAGTCATGGATGAGATGAGTGTGAAACATTTTGAGGGATGAGCTGATAGTGAGGAAAGTAAAGTTGATTTGATTTTGGGCTGAAATGAGATTTTTAGAGGTTAAACACGGGGATTCTAAGCGATTCGAATTTTTAAACTCTTATGAGACTCAATCAGAGCGAGTGTCAACAAAATAAAAATGAACAATAAATTCAATATAGTCGAAAGTAGGCATTGTAATTGTTTCAGATTTTTGTTAACTCTCATTTATTGAAAAAAGGAAAATTCGAAAATGGGCGGCACGATGCTCATTGAGCCAGTTCAGGAGGGTCAAGCAAGATATCAGTTTCATTATTGCCCGGTGGCTTGGCGCAGTGGGTAAGTTCGTTGCCTCACGTGCGAAAGGTTCCGAGTTCAAAACCCGGCCTGGTAGAATGGTGAGATCTAACCATTTAATGTCTTGGTCATCATCGCAGCATACCCGAAACGGGTCGAAACGATGTAAAATAACGATAAAAGAAAAAAAGATATCAGTTTCACCGAAAAGCTTGCTATCCCCATACTTTTTCGGATTTTTCATTGTTGAATACATTTTTTCGGAAATTTCTTCAATGAATACCGTGGTGGCACCAGTTTTCGAATAGGACCCAAATAGGTGAATTTGGAGCACCCTTGTGGCATAATTTCAAAGGAATAAATATTCACAGCCATCGAAGTTCATTTTCATTGTTTCCCTCTCAAAGTGTAGTTATTTCTGCACGAATTACAATATTCATTTACATTACACAAAGTGCAATAAATTCCTAAAATTAGGTTTTTCTGGGGTGCTCGATCGATTGATCTGTTTATCGAGCCGTATGTTGTGCACAGATGGTTGAATTCAGTCACACTTCATAAGGATCTGGAGACAAAATGTAAGCAAACAATTGATTTTAATCAGTTTCTATGAGTTGAGGGATAATTTTTGAATCGATGCAGGTTGAAATAAAACCAAAAACAAACAAAAATTTATAAGAAATACGGCATTCGAGATTTGGATTCACAGAATAAGAGGTAGGGGGCTTACCGAATGTATTCTTTCTTATACTTGATTCTGTACTGGTCCAGAACAAACGTGAGTTGAAAATTCAACAACAGGGAGTTACTAGATGAGCTCATACAATCAAAAAAGAGAAGGATTTGGAGAACCTCCGAAAACAGAAATTGACTGACGCTAAGACGATGAGTCCCAACGTTGTGACGAAGAAGAGAGGTGAAGAGGAAACAGTTGGGGAGAGCTCATTCACTAGTCTTTAATCAGGTTTTTACTGTTAAGATAATAAAATTGCTGTAGATATGTTTTTCATAAACGATTTCCTAAATTTTCTTCGCGCAAACTCCTTTTAAGTCGCTTTATTCGACAACTGGGGTGGCGCAATTTGGAACATTCGAAATCTGGGTTCGAAGAGCTATGTTTTAGTTTCGCAAACATTCATTTAATGACTTTTTCAATCAAAATCAAGTTTTTCTATCGGAAAAACATCCGAATTGACTTCTAAAAAGTTAATATTTCACATTTGACGGGAAAAAACACGGATAATCCGATACTGATGTGTGGGTGTCCCTTGACCATTCGAAAACTGGTGCCACCACGGTATTTGTGAACAATATTTTATTCAATTTCACGCTTGACTTTCATTGGTCTAACCTCTGATGATTATACGACAACATTGAAAAGTAGATATCTCTTTAAATTATCCTTTTTTGCAAACCGTAACAACAGCTACACATTTCGTGAAACTAATGGACGAAAAACAAAGGTGTTTATACACACCCGTTTGAGGTTAAGTATCCTTATACGAATCTTCACACATGTCAATGTCACTGGGGGAAAAATCCGTCGTCAAAAAATATTCGCATGTGAAACATGCTCTAGTGTGGGAATCGACATTCGACATAAAATCTGTGAAACCTTGGCTTTTGCATGTCAAAGTTTCTTCACACAACTCAAGAATGGGACCATGGGGCCTACCCCATGGTTGTCTACCAATCAAGAAGTTTTTAATTTGATTGTTTGCAAATCAAAATATCTATCCGAAATAGTATATTTCAGGGCGAGTACCAGGGGTTCTTTACTCGCGTGGAGTTGGCGTCCGAGCCGAAGGCGACGACTGGCCAATCACGCTAGTAAAAAAAACCCCATGGTCTTTAGTCACGTTCAACTGATCAGGTGAACCCTGATCAAAACCTGATGAAAAACTGATCCAGTGTTTCTGCCTGAAATCACCGTGATCGGATTTAGATCTGGTCACCCTGATTTCAATTTAAGCAGAGTATCCTAAGATGAATCTGATCAGATTCAGATTCTATCACCCTCATGTCAATCTGAGCATGGCGTCAGTTGCTTCAAGGGTCAGACGTCTTGAGGG